GAGACAGAAAGAAAAAAGTTAATAGAAGAGGGAAAAGCACAGGCTTTAAACGAGTTAAAAAAAAAATGGTAAATGTATAATTTTATTCACTAAAGTTACTATAATTAATGATCCGCCTCCAAAATATAGAAGTTAAGCATATTTGCGGTTTATCGCTAGATTGTATATTTAATACACAACATTCACCAGTGCGTTACGTTTAGCAGACGATACAATGCATGAGGTTTATAAATAGAAAACTATTGGGAAACCATTATCGATTTTGTATTAAGTTTATATTTTATTTTTTTAGTATACATAATGTCCGAGCTAGCTAGTGATGGGGGTATTACTTAGTAGTATGATCAGCTACTTTGTAATATTATCTCAGCACTTCTAGAGACCCTCCCATTTCGGTTTCGGGGAAGGGTCCGCACGCATATGAGATATGCAGGAGTGTCTGAGATAAAAGCTCCATAACGAGCAGCCGCCTAAGAACGGCATGTAGAGGCCGTGACAGTGGCAAAACCCCCAGGACCACCGGAAAAAAAGAGAGATAGAAAGAAAAAAATGCCTACCCGGTGGTCTGGACAAGTAGGCATTTTGCTGTTTTTTTCTGGGTACTATGGATTAAGGGTTGAATATTTTTTTATTTTTAGGGGGTGTGGGTTCGAGTCCCGCCGGGGATAAAAAATTTATTTTTTTTTAGGTGTGATGGAGAAGAAAATCTTTTTAAAAAAGTAGGTTATAAAAAAGGGGTATAACTGGAAATTATTTTTTTTATTTTTTTAGGGTGGGGGATAGCAGGTATTTATAATATTACTCATGTGACCTTGAACTTGATTTATGCCAAGTTATATATTATCCTTACATATTATATGTTGTCCTATGACTAGTATGACTAGTGTGTGTGCAGCCATTGCCATGGGAACTATAATTATGATGAGGCAGCGCATAACAATGGTATTTTGTACAAAGTTTTATTAAAATATTTCAATGCATGTAGAAGTAATGATCTAAAAAGCGTTTTCATAAAATGTAACAGACTGAAAAAATTTTTCGTATAAAAGTAATCTCGCTAAAAGTTAAATGTTTATAGTCTTCTCGTAAGAATATGCTATGCATTTAATTTTTCAGTTTTGGATTTTATCGTAATAATTGGTAATTAACCGTGAGCCATGTGTTTTTACCCTTCAAAATTTGCACATACTTCCAGCATCTAAATCAGACACATGATACTTTACCATGGATTTTTTTGTATTCTAATTGAAAATGTCCCTACCTATAGTCCTTTTTTGTTCTTTCAAGAATAAGAGATAACAGTGCTACCTCTGCAGTGGTCCTATGTACAACAGCAACAACGGTATAGTTTCTTCACTGATTATGACTTCATTATCAATGTAAAGAAGACACACACACTAACAGATTTTTTGTTAGATTTTGCGTCGCATCGACACAGGATAGGCCACCTGTCCACTTTCCAGCTTTATTAAAAGAGGAATACATCATGTGTCCCTATGTAAATTATTTCGGGCACAAACAGGCACTTGAGTAGAACCACCAACTGGATAGCTTTCTCACATAAAGAATTTGAAGGTGACATAGCTCGAACCATATAGTTAAGGTCCATAACCATTTTGCCACTGACTCGCCCTCTGAATCTGCCAAAAATAAAGAAAGTAAGAACCCCTAAAGACAGTCCAAAACGGCAAAATTGAAAATATTGCAGTCTCGGTTTGATTTAGCCTGTTCATGGACGGTACTGTCAAGTGCAATCTACCGTCCACGCCTCCTTGCACAGGCTTAAGCAGAATTCAACATTTAAACATTCAATCAAAAACTGCTACTCATCGAATAGAGCATTCCCATCACCAATAAATGAATGATCTAGCTGATCAAGTTATAGCCCTACATAATATCCATTAATATATATTTTATCACCCCATATAAGATCAATAAAAGATTCTATTATGTAAAAATGCATTATGTATAATCACACGGGTATTGTTTATTTGAATTTTAAATTCAATGCTACGGTGATAGAAATAGGTGCATACCAAAGTTTATAAATAATAAATATCAATAATAAGAGTGCCATTGTCACAAAATACGCAAATCACAAATGTTTTAAAGCACATTGTAACTTAGAAATGAATATTGTTTCGTGTTTTAGAAAGGAAAGTTTATAACAGTTAAAATTGTTTTAGAGAATGTTAAATGTTTATCATCTGAATCAAGTAGAGCGCTATGAAAGTGATTTTTTTTGTCACGAAAGTAGAAAAATGTACACAAAGTTAGCATCTTGACTTCCATACACAATACTAAATCACTATCAAAATGACTTTCCAAATGCAACATCAACAGAAGATAATTTAAGTAATTGGCCAATGAGTAACATTTTTGGAAAATATAACAGGACACCAAAAACAGAAAACTTTCCAGAAATAAATATAAAACCATATCAGTGGTTATAATGGCCCTATCTTGATGGTGAACATTGACATCACAATCGACTTAAATGTCTATACAAACAGGCTCATTTTATCTTACAGTTGACCCCTGCATGTGACCTTGACCTTGATTTATGCAAAGTTATATATTATACTTATGCCAAAGCGTAACCCTGTCCTTTGACTTGAGACCTAGTTTGTGTGCAGCCTTTGCCATGGGAACCAGAATTTTGTTGACGCAGCACCTAACAATAGTCAACATTTATACAAAGTGGGGTTGCGTTCATTGAACCCCGCCTTTCATTGTTGATCTTGTTTTATCATATTTTATTGAAATATCTCAATGCATGTAGAAGTTATGCTCTAGAAAAGCATTTTCATTAAATGTAACAGACTGAAAAATATGTCTGTATAAAAGTAATCTCGCTAAAACTTAAATGTTTATAGTCTTCTCGTAAGATATGCAATGTATTTAATTTTACAGTTTCGGATTGTATCGTCATAATTGGCAAATATCCGTGAGCCATATGTTTTTTTTTCTTCAAATTTGCACATACATCCAGCATCTAAATCAGACACATGATATTTTGCCATAGTTTTTGTTTTTTCGTATTCTAATTGATAATGTCCTTACCTATAGTCTTTGTTGTTCTTTCAAGAATAAGAAATAACAGTGGTCCTATGTACAACAACAACAGTATAAATTCTTCCTTGATTATGACTTCATTATCAATGTAAAAAAGACACACACACTAACACATTTTTTGTTAGATTTTGCGTCGCATCGACACAGGATAGGCCATCTGGCCACTTTCCAGCTTTATTAGAGGAGGAAGACATCAGATGTCCCTATGTAAATTATTTCAGGCACAAAAAGGCACTTGAGTAGAACTATCAACTGGATAGCTTTCTCACATAAAGAATTTGAAGTGGGTGACATATTTCGAACCATATAGTTAAGGTCCATAACCATATTGCCACTGACTCGCCCTCTGAATCTGCCTAAAATAAAGAAAGTAAGAACCCTTAAGACAGTCCACAACGGTAAAATTGAAAATGTTGCAGTCTCGGTTTGATTAAGTCTGTTTATGGACGGTACTGTGAAGTGCAATCTACCGTCCACGCCTCCTTGCACCGGCTTAAGAAGAAAGCAACATTTAAACATAAAATCAGCGCAAAATTTTGAATTTAGAAAACATCTGCAGCAGATGTGTTCATACGGCGGTTATAATGGAATCTTCAATGTGACACTTTCGTGTCATTCCATGACAAGTGGCGTATGGCCCCCAATTAATTAGACTAGTACTTTCTTTCTTATCCGTAAGTAAATATTTTGAAAAATTCGCTCAAACTGATCAATTGTTTGTTTGTTTGATTGGGCTTTTATGTCACACTGACACAGTATAGAGCATATACATGTATAGGGACATTGGAGGAAGACCTCAGATGCCCTTCCGTGTATTATTTCAGACAACCGGAACCGGAACCGGAGTAGAACCACCTACTAAGCTAGAAAAATGATGAAAATAATAGTTTTGTCAATATTTATAGGTGGCAAGTCCATTTAAGATATTTTTTGTGGTAAACAACAAATACTTTAATTTTAACACGATTTTATTAGCATCATATCAATATTTTAACATAACTGAAATTTAACTATAAAATCTGCAAAGGTACATACCGTACTACAACTTGAAACAAAATTGTACTTATATACGTGGGAAACCAGTGGCATAAAATTACGATAAATTGTTATTGTATCATTTTGAAATAGATTATAATTATATTGATGTTTAAGTTTCCATTACTACTGTGTATCAATTTAATGGTGTTTAATATTTTATATCTAATTGTTACATAAACATTTTTAAATTAAATCAAAGAAATCTAGTTTGATAACTTTTTATACTTCAATATTTTCTGCACGAAAGCAAATTCCAAGCATGCAGCTATTCATAATACCCGCTGCAGTAACCACCCTTTAGAACACTTCATTTGTTACATTAATGATACATTACTGCACATTAAATGCAACTATCATCTAGCGTGCTCTAAATCCATTATTAAAACATTATTAAAGATATGTTCGACCTTTTTTAAGAATAAACAATTTTCATTTTTGAGGTTTAATGTGCCTTTAAGCTAAATGTCACAAACAACAACAACATAAAAAGCTATTGTAAAATGTACTATAACACATACTTAGTACTGTCCACAGAAATTATCATAATTATTGTTAAAATAATGAAAATAAAACAAAACAACTTTTATGCATTCACAATAGATTACTCATACATGTTTGCGTATGTATATAGGGATCAACATATATCTTAAGGCACACGCCTCCAAATATGTATCAGTGCTAAAAAATAACCTGTTGACTGTTCTATTGAAGTTTGATAAAAGTGCCCCCCCCCCACACACACACACAGATACAAGGGTATAGTACGTGTACAGTTAAAATACTTGTTTATATTCTACTTCATCTGTATTAATAATAATCTTAATAAAATATTTTGCTCCTATATTAATAGGTTTGGCCATGATTTCACAAATGCCCACAAGCCTTAAACAAAAGGTATGCTGACAAATTTATTTATATTATCATTATAATTGACTGAGAACAAATACTAAGCTGTATACACTTTAAGATTTAAACTTAAAGTTGAATCTCAAAATTTACCTTTAATATTTGTCTACAAAATTAGTCATAAAAACTGAATATTAAATTAATGGTAGCATTTTATTTAATTTTACCCATGAAATATGGTGCTATATCAGTCAAATATATTTCATATTTTTTTTAAAAAAATATGAAATATAAATATGAAAGTGGGCGGAGTCAAAACTCATATTTATTTTAAGGGACTTCTTTCGCCGTTTTGTTTGAAAAATCTGATCAATACAAAACAACTTTTTGTTGAATTTTGTATTGATATCTATCTAGAATGATAAAAAATGGTCTAACTAAAAAAAATAAATCCGAACACAAATATCTTTTATTCAGTCATTAACACTGTACAGACGTTTAAAGACTTGTTTACGTGACGCCACAATGTAGCGCTAAATATCGCGTGCAAAACAAGATAATAATTATATTACTGCGCGCTGTACAATTGCAGTTGCGTAACAAGCAAGGGGGGTCGTAACCATTTTTCTTTGATGATGAAATTAAATAAAAAGGTAATTTTTTCGTTTTCCGTGAAATATGGTATATATTTTCACTCAACATGATAAAATGCAACATATTTTCACTCGCCGTCCCGGCTCGTGAAAATATGTGGCATTTTATCATGTTTCGTGAAAAAATATGGCTGCCATATTTCACTCAAACGAAAAAATATCCTCTTATTATTTGGAGAGTCTGTGTCCAATTTTGCTATGATATGGGATATTATGTTGCAGTTTTGATCCACAACTTATATATGACACAAAATAAGGTTTACTAACAAAATAGAAAAAAATCAATAAATAGTAACAGTGTACAATAAATAGTAAAAAAGTAAAAACAAATATATTAAGTATCAAATTATGTGCATAATAATTATGAAAAATAAAATTACAAAATAATAAAATGATTTGACATTCGATTGATCTTTAAATAATAATATAAAATGTTATAGATAAATATCATATTCTAACACTCCTCGTGACTTTGTCACTATAGACAAAGAAGAAGAAATTACGGTCTTAAACTGCCAGTAAACACTTGTTAGGGAATACTTGTATATGCCGCTCTTATTTTTTCTCCCTCGATTATATAGTTACAGCAACAATAAAAAGCATTTTTATTTTATATTTTCAGTTCTTGTAATGTTTTGTTTTCAAACTATACCGAAATAAAGTCTCATATACACTAACACAACAGATTTGATCCATATCAGTAAATAACATAACTATTTTGAAAAAAACAGCGCGAATCCGTAAACAGCGTAATGACGTCATCCTAAGTATACTACTCATTCATAAACGCTGACGTCATTTCAAACAAACAATGATGATAAATTGGGCACTGGTGAAAACACAATACAATCCATTTTAAGACGTATGTTTTTATTGTTTAAAACTTTATAAAATAACTTGTTTTCTCTTATTATTTCTTATAACAGTATTGATATTCCTTTATTTTATCGTGCTGCAGACCACGTGGTCAATTCCTACGCATCAGAACTCCAACCGGTGTTAAATAGCGGATAAACACCGCTGAGACCGATATTATTTCTTAAACAAATACATAGAGGATATTCAAGTTTTTCTATAAATACATGATTTATTTTCATCGAGTGGTATGAAATTTAATATTTCATGAGTGGCGGTAGCCACGAGTGAAATATGGTAATTTTCATGCCACAAGATGAAAATAAATCATGTATTTATAAAAGAACTTGAATTTTCTGTTTATTATATACATTTTTCTCCTTTTTGACATTAAAATTTGAAAGACTTTCCCTGAAATTTTGTGTATTGGCAGAATTTAAAAGAAAGTAGTTCGGCAACAAACCAGTGAAAATACGGAAAATATGTTTCACTGCAGTGAAAAATAAATTTTCACAGTGAAAATACGGCAAATGAAAATACACATTTTATTTCATCAATATTTCTCAATATTTCATTTATAAGTATATAATAAATGTACATGTTTATATATTTATCTATCATAGGGCTTGTAAGTCTCAAATGAGGCAGGTCTAACTAAAGTTGGCCGGCATGTATTAAGAGACAATGAGTTAAAACATGTAATAACAGAAAAAATAAAAGGGTATGATTGTAATAACAGACAATGTGATAGAAATAGTAAAATATTGGAAAGAGCAAATATTAGCAGAAAATAGCAGAGCGTGTAGTAACAGACAATATAAAAGAGGATGCAATAACAGACATGGGAAAGAGCATTTAATAACAGACAATAAGATAAAGCATGTATTAACAATCAAAGTGATTAACATATTATACCAGACATGAAATTACAAACACTGTGATCAAACATAAAAAAAAACAGACAAAATGATAGTGCGTATTATAACAGAAAAAAATGATAGAGTAGTGATAACATGTAATGTGATGCAGCATGTAATAAAGACAAATTAATTAAGCATGTTATAACAGACATTATGATAGAGGTTATACAGACAATGCGATACAGATGTAATGACATGCAATGTGATAGAGCATGTCATTGAAGACAAAATAAAAGGGCATGTAATAACATGCATTGTGATAAATCATGTAATTAAAGATGAAGTAATAGAGCATGTAATAACAGACAATGTCATTTAGCATGCAATTACAGACAATGTGATAGAGCCTATAATAACATGAAATGTGACAGAGCATTTAATAACACACTACTTAACAACAGGTTGTTCACCTTTACCAAAAGGTTATTATATTATATATACTATGTATAGAGGATATTGAATGAGTGTAAGTTCAATACTGAATTTATTGCACGAGTTGAATAATGTATATTATGCCAGTCTGTGGCGAGCATAATATTATTTTATTCAACGAGTGCAATAAATTCAGTAATGAACTTACACGAATTTAATATTATTTTTATCACATACCCAAAATAAAGACCGTTTAAAGTGATATAAGTGACGCGCCTAAGTTTAACGCTAACATTTAGCGCGTCTTTTCACTATGTTTGCATAATGCTAATGACGGCACGTCAAAATATATGCAAGGCCGTGCAATACCATATTTACGGAGTCGCAAAGTTGGCACGGGTGTGTGATAAATATATATACTACTTGAACACTGAACAATGGCCAATTTTTGTCCGAATTGAACAATTCCAATATATACAAAGCTTGAAATCCGTCCTTTAATGCTTAAAAATGAAAAATATTTTTATTCACTCATTTATTTAATTAAAATGGCTTTCTAAAGAAATATGTGTATACTGCTTGAATATTTAAGCTATCTTTCATATTGGTTTCAACTTACAACGGTGAATTGTCGAAAGGATCATATTTAATGCAATTGCACAGCGATAGTCTAACGTTAGCGATTTCAAGTGACCTTATTTTAAATTTACATAATATAAACGAAATCAAATAAAACAAAATGTTTAAAAGAAAAGCAAATTTACAAATTACGTTTAAATCCTCAAAAATTAAATATAATTAATAAAAGGTGCTGATACTTCTCGTGGTCAACTGAAAGTAAAATTTGTAAAAAGTACTAGACGTAGATTCGATACTCTTAAAAGCATTCTTCATCTTTTACCTAAAATAGGTTTAACTATTCCTGATAATAATTATTGCGGACATGGTAATTCATAAGATAACAGGAATATTACAGGAATATTACCGGAGTAGTGTTCATTCATTAAGTAATATCAATTTTCAATTTACAAAGAATATTCCAGTAATCTTTAAAAATGTTGAGGTTATGACAGTCATTTTGTTATTTAGCAAAAAGGAAAATTCCATAGAAAAATAAGGGTTGTTTCGGATGATATGAAGCAATATATGGCATTAAATACTTCTGATTTATTCTTCATTTATTCTTTTCAATTAATGTCTCGGTATAAGATGTTTTAGCTTAAAATGTACCAGAATTTAAATATATTTCTGATCCATTTTTTACCTAGTTATTAACCTGGCATTAGCGATAACAAAAATGAACATGCACAAAAGTTTTGAAAGAATTCGGATTGAAAACAATAGGATAATATTTATCATGATTTGTATCTAAAAGCCCGCAAATTTTTATTATCTGATATATTTGAACATTTTTGAACGTATGGAGAAAATGCTATAATATATACATTACCTTAGATCCATGTCAATATTTTAGTAGTCAAAGATTAGCTTGGGGTTCAATGTTAAAAATGACATTTTATAATGAGCCGTTTAGAATGTGAAACCTCTTTATAAATTGTTATTTGATATGGCAAAATTCTTTTGACCAATTTACTATACTACAAAATTACTGTTTTAATAAAATAGAAAAAAGTCAATAAATTTACACAAATCATGAATATAGATATATAAACATAAATGATTATCTAATGAAAATTGAGGTTACAAATGTGTACAATGCAGTTTTATACAGAAAGAGATAATGATTGTAAAACTCTTTAACACAATCTTTAATATATAGTTTAAACATGATAAAAGGTTAAGCTATTTTTTTAGAAAACTTCCTGGGCAAAGACATAATAACTTAATAACTAAAGGTCTGACAGTAAAAGGATTAAAAATGATTTAACTGAATATGTAAGCCCATGTTAAATCTAAGATAAATCATGTAAAGCCCAAACTATTTTTGACATTGTTGACAACTTCTTAACCTTGAGCATATCTTTGAGGCACTTGTAAAAGAAATCGGGACATTCTACACGCATGCTAGCCAGGAGTGCGATATCTCCGCCTGTTAAACTGCTGACTCCACACCTGTAACAGATCACGTTACAACTTGCAGGACGACAAGAGGAATTAACATAACAATTATAAAATGGCTGTCTATATAAACAGAAATATCTGGCTTGAGGTTAATTAACAGCCAAATTTCGCTAAGGATTTATCTAACAGCAGGATATTCCCATCTGTGAAGAGAGTAAGTGTTTGTTTGTTTTTTTTACTGCGTCTGACATATTAATAATAAATTTTAAAAACCAATAACAACATGATTGACAGTAACAGAAGGGGCACAACTCTAACGATGTAAAAGTGCATAATTCTGTAAAAAAGTTATCTCAGAGGTATGAGACCTGTAATTAGTAATTATCTTCTTTTTGTACGCATATACTTTCGATTCAAAGATTTGTTTAAGTATGACATGACTGGTGTTCACAATAATCACTTTACTGAAAGTATTAATATTAATTTATTGTCATGTACATGCATTATTGGAATTTAAAAAAAACGTGTATCCATTTAAATGCACTTACTTCTCCAGCCCGTTCTTGTAAATCCATTGTTTAACATCGTCTGCCGTCCATTTTCTCACATTATCAATGGTTGTCTTAGTAACTGATATCTTAGCAATTGTATTACTCGCATAAGAAGATGTGTCTGCATGATCGATAGAATGGGCACCTGTAGCCCCTGTCACCTACAAGAACAATTGTCAAATGCATGGTAACAGTACAGTGCTAATGGTAGCATAATAACCTTTATTACTCTTTACAATAACAGTTTCACTTTTTCACAATATAAAACTTCACAATAAATTTAGCCACTCAAATGCAAAATCCATTTTATAATTGTAGAATACTTAGGACATTAAGACCTATAGCTTAATAAGCTACCGAAAATGCATTTCAACGTTACTTGGGGGAAAGTTGAAATGTATTCAATTCATATCTGTTCAAATCAAACACAAAACATACACATATACAACACTCTGTTCATTCACATTTCATACCGAAAAGAGGCGGTTACTATTAGAGAAATTTGTTTTTATATAATTCCATTGCAATTATATCTAAATATATTAGATACATAATTACATTGTGTGGCACAATTGGCATTCATCTTAATTTTGATAAAATGATGTTTGTAAAGTAGTCATGCAATTGTTATGCTTTTGTTATTTATATACAAGGTTGATGTAGATTTATCTTTTCACTTTTCTTCAGATAAAGCTATTCATGGTGCTGTATTATAAATCTCTTATTAAGATGGTATGAAAGATAAAACAGCCATTTATAAATAGCAGTTTACAAAATAACCATCATATTCACTTATAGCCATTTATACTTGGTCATACAACCTATCAAAAATCTTAATTCCTTACATACAACATTATAATACTGCACGTTTATAACGTAGCTTTTCATTCGATAAAGTGTCATTTATGTACATGTAGTTTATATCCCTGCTGCTACTGTCATTCATAAATAAATCACACATTTTTCTTCCTCTTAAATAGTAAGTTTCCTGTATTATAAATTCATCTAGCCGCTCGGGTTATACATACAAACCATTTATATAGGAAAATTTAACCTGCCAAAAATTTTTAACTAATGATATAAACCAACACATAAGTAGAAATGTGTCAATTCCAAGTACATTATTGTCAACATATTCAACTGATTTGTAAGTTATCAACAGACAGTGTGACAGCATGATGGACATGGGGCTTAAAAATCCTAGAGACTTACAGAAGCAACCTGAGGTTTGATAATCTCCCCTGCATCAGGAACATCACGTGATTCTCCTAGTACACCAACTATCTCCTTAAGCAAGGCCTTCATCTTGTCTTCAAATGGATACTTTGGACTAAACTCGAAGTACAATTTGGCGCCCACTATCAAGCCGAGCCATCCATCAGGAGTGTACCCTCTCTCCATTTTTAATGGAATAACCTTTTTGCGTAGTTGAAATGCGTATTCTGCCTCTGAAATGAAAAATCATTGAAAAGAAACAAAAACTTCGGTATGATAATGTGCTTGATAATTCTCATAAAATCCATGTTAGTGTTATAGGCATTTGAAATTGATTTTCGATTATCCTCTCAAATACGTGTGCGAAGTTTCAACTCACTCCCTTCAGAAGTGTTGGAGTTACCAACTTGCACACAAAAACATTATTATAGTTGAACTAAAAACAAAATGATAATACACACGTAAACTGAAAACAAAGCGACCCAACCACAGGAAACAGATAAGATTTTTCAATTTTCTAATGGCTAGTGAAGGCCCTTGCATGCAAGTACTCAGAGTGTAAGGGTCAGTCCATGCTAAATTTTGCGCCAGATAACTATTTGGCTAGCTTGGTGCTAAAAGAAAGCCATCCACTTTACAGACAAAAGGTTAAAAAGTCCACTAAATTCCATAACATCCCAACTCTCCTTTGCTTCGTTATGAATCTGAAACCAGCATTTCTTCAATACCTAATTTAGTACATTTTAGTCAATATGGTTGTTGGGTCTGTTATCCAAAAATCAAAAAGCAGAAACATGAATGCTTGAAACCATTGCCTTTAAAGAGTTTGTAAATTATTTAATCGCTTACCTGCCCTGCAAGCAGGACTATGCTTGTACTTGTTGGACATACAAATTAGGAACACATCAGCACCTTCCACAGCCTCTGCCATAGCTTGAAGTGTGGATCCTCCCATCTGGTCAATATCCATCCAAACCTGAATTTACGAAGAAGCATTTTTGAGGGTCTAAACATACATGCAAACGTGTTTTAAAAACAACATCCAAATTATGATCACCCTGTTAATAAATGCAACTATTCAACAAACTTTCAGTGAATGAAAAGAAAAGAGTAATCTTATAATTGAGACCAATTGTATATAAAGGTCATGCTACTATACGGAAAAAAACAACCCCATACTCCTAGTGAATACATTTAGTCTTGATGGCATAGTGAGGACATTTAGTCTACATTGCATAGTGAGAAATCTTATTATTAATGGCATAGTGAGGACATATAGGCTTGATTGCATAGTGAGGATACATATACTATTTATGGAATAGTGAGAACACCTAGTATTGATGACATAATGAAGACATTTAGACTTGATAAAAATTGTAAATACTTAGTATTGATGGATAATTGGGGACACTTAGCCATGATGACAGAGTGCAGACACTTTGTATTGCTGGAACAGTGAAGACACATACTCTTGATAAAATTGTGAGGATACCTAGTCTTGATGGAATAGTGTGGACACAGTCTTGATTGCATAATGAGGTCATTTAGTCTTTATCAAATAGTGAGGGCACTAAGTCTTGATGTCATTTTATGGGTACCTAGCCTTGATGGCATTTTGAGGACAAGTTATAATATTCTTTGTATAATTGAGCTTTAAATGAATGTGGCAGCCTCAAAAGTTTAAAGTTTGTATATTAAGATATTATCTCCAAACTTTTAACGTTGTGTATTTCAGGTTAAGGTGATTGTGTGGCAAATTGTTATTACACATATACTTGTTGTATGTAAGCATACCTTATATCCCCTTGCTTTGATGTTGTCTCGTACATTTTTAAGTACCTGCTGGTCTGCCCATTGGTAAGAAATCATCACATGACCTCTAGATGATGACTTCTCCTCTTCCAATGTGGTCCTTTTCTTCTTTTGTAATTTCCCTGCTTTATCTTTGTTATCAAACTGTTCAACTATTTAGAAATAATGGCTATAATGCTTAAGCTCCTAATTTTTTGTACTGTGAATTTTGACCTGTCCATTCCAAATTTAAAGTAATTCCAATTTTAGGTATTTCAAATTATAAATCATTTAATACATCAACTAAGATTTCAAAAGTATAAAGCTTACACAGTTTGCATGGCTTTACAGGCTAGCATAGCTCTATACATGTGGCAAAAGCTAATCATTTTCCTTTCCAAAGGAGTAAAAGTTCAAATATATAAATATTTATTACATAATCTATAAAAAGCTTAGAAATGCCTTTTCCTGGTTGGCTAAGAAAAAACTTTGTAAAAAATAACAGGTCAATATTAGGGTTTAGTCACCTATTTTTCCCCTAAATCTTGATTCTCTGGAAATCCCACAAAAGACGCGACGCCAAGTTTATTGGTATTATTCACAAAAAAGTTTGGTGACTTTCATATCAGAGTCAAAGTAATCTATTTTAGTTAAAGTCTTAACATTTTTAAGAAAATCACGAATTTAGCGTTCCCATGCACTTTTTTAAGATATAGAGTCTAATGACGAAAAAGCAACATCAACTTAATAAGCAAATTGAAAAAATGTAGATTTTCGGCGTTTTTAAATGCAGATTTGATAAGCCATATAAAACATATTATAAATTATATAATAAAACGGATATGTTCTTTTTAGCTGGTAATTAGGTGATTTATTACCACAAAACCGTATGCAACTTTTTCCACCATCTGTCGAAATGGTGTTAGAAAACCATTATAATAATATGCTATATTACTTTAGTCAGACGTACCAAACTTTACTCAAAATCAGTTTTACGATCAGCTAATCAATTATGGAATAATCTTCCTACAATAATTAGCGAATCACATTCGCTAGCTACATTTAAAAACAAGATTAAAGAGTTATATAAACCACCAGTAGTTTCATCTTTTTTCTTATACGGAGATCGTATGTTAAATGTCCACCAAACCTGAATTAGAAACAATTGTAGCAACTAAAATATTTATTTGTTTATTAACAAATTAGTTTCAAGCGCATGTTAATTATATACTATGCAAAGACGTATACTTTTTTGAATATGAGGTCATTCCATCCTCTCAGTAGTAAGACATTTCTAAACGGTATTGATTCACTTGCAGAAGCCGAAAAAAGACTATTGCAAGAAGTGCACAATGTCATCAAAAGTATTATTTTATTTAGAAGATTTACCCAATACTGCTTATACATGTACTTTATTAATTTTTGTATTTAGTTTATTAAAAACTGCTGCAAATCAAGGTTCGGTTCGTTTATTCTAGTGGCAAATTCCTAATGGCATATATTATTTTTTTGTCCACTTAGTCTCATTAAATCATTTTGTAATTTTCTTTGTTTTTGTTATTTTTAGGCTAAGCGATTTCTTTGTTACCAGTTAAAATACATGACACATATATCGCTTATCATATAAATATCTCAGAATTTCTAAAACTCACAGTTACTAACTATGTTACCATTAAGCCAACAAGATAGACCTTTAGGGGAGGACCCTAGATAATGTTGGCATAACTTTTGGTCCAAGCCTTTTGTATGTACATTATATTTATCCTTAAGGTAATGATGTTAGATTGTGTAAATTTGTCATGTACAAAATATACAATAAAATATTATTAAACGGAAAATGTAATGTGTAATGTACTGGAAACAAAAATATTGACAGCGACTATCGCCTCGTTCAAATATTATTTTTTCAGTACATATCACATAATATTCGCCAGATGAAATGTTCATATTTGTCAATAATGTATTGATATCAAATTGGCCATAGACACTTCTTATATACTACTCAATTTTTGCTTGGCACAACAAATTACCAACTATAGAATGAAACGTTTGAAGGGAATTTTATTTTCGTTTTGCATAGTTTTATTCAGCAAAGGTTTGAGATTGCTCCCAACCTTATGCAAGATGTGTGAATTGGTATATTGCCTCAAACATTTTTGAAAAAATGTAAGCCTTATCAGACCAATTCATTTCCAAAAAAGACTACTAAGCATCTGATTTCCAATCCCCTAAAAGCTGAATATGCTCTCGGGAAATATTATCAAGGTGAGCTAAAGTTGCAAAACCTCTTTTGCACGAATGGAAAGAAAATATAGTTTAGGAGATTTAGACAATAAACTCCCTTAATTTCTTTTTTTAAAATGATATGAAGCATGAAACATGCAAAAGAGAAAATAAAACATTTATAACTATTACTTAATTTTGAAGCAAGCATTTTTATAACCACTTTCTAAAATCAATTAAGGTGATTCCATTTCACATGGGTAAAATTCACTCAACCATAATAAACTTTTTATAACTTCGCAAGGAATTAAAAAAAATATTGCGTATCATATCACTCTCTTAACCAATTCAAATTATGATTAACGAAAACACGCCTCGATCTAACACATGCTCCAATAAGATTCAATTTACCAAGCAATTTCAGTATGTCTTTTACATGTTTTAAAGATGCAGTCTCTGAAATCAACCATGAATTAGATCCTTTATCTCCTTAAGCCTGTAATCTGCATAGTTTTAGTACGACAAAATACTTTAAAATATTATAATCTGTGAAGGAGTACACGCTTTATCAACAGCCTCCTCAATTCAACTTGAAATAAAAAGCTCACGTAAAACAATTGAAAGCAAAATAAGCTGTTTGTTTATTTTCTATCCCTGTAAAATCATTCAAATAATTTAAACAAGATAAACCCACATTCCACATGATAAAAACAAAAGTTCGTTACCCTTTGACAAAAACATGTGGAAGACCTTTACCCCCATTGCTTAAATGGTATCAGAAAAGGTATGTTTTTTCACGACGAACCTAAAAAGTTGTTATTAGAAGGACACATAATAATTTGTCTTTCTGCCGTCTTAAATCAAGTTTATACATAAAACAACATTGACCTTTTCTCCTAATTAAAGCTACAAAATTTTCGGGAAAACTAAATCAACCTTGTTCCTAAGATAATGATTTTAGCACAAAGTTGTTTACCCCATTATCATTATTAGGAAAACCTTTCGTTCAAAATCAACTTTCATTCATTTGGATTTGATTTAGGAACAATATGAAGAGGAGAACTAACCATATCTTCAACAAAAGGACAACTATCGAAAGGTCTAATAATAGCCCCATATGAAGCTTCTTTCTGTAAATTTTTGACCATATATACAATAAAATACAGCACAAGTAACATTCTTCACTTTGGAGGTTTCAGAAAATAAAATACTTTTTTTCTAAGTTAATATTAAAGGGAAACCCAAATTAAAAAAAAATCACAAACCTGCATATAAAAATAAACATGAAGCATCTTACACGTGAAATCAGTATCAATTTAATCACTTAACTGAATCCGGCAGGCTTCAAAGTTAAACTTTCAAGAAGCTATAACTTGCTTAAGGACAAAAACAACCAGAATTTGAAGTAACCTTACAGCTAGAAGAACTGATGAATTTTCTTTTACAAAAATTAGTTAAGAAAACATCATCCTAATTATTTCTTGAAGCAACATCAATGGACAGTCACTGAATTACATTAAGGCACGCACAAGAACATTCGGAATGCGGTAAATCTTTCTTATCCGAGTCCCAGCATGTAGCACAGTTGTGCTTAGAAAAACGAGTTTCACCTCCCTTAGCCGTGACTTCATGAGCAGTATTTGGAGAACATTTATTCCTCTGATATTTTGAACAAAATCAGACACTATTGTCATCCACTGTACCAGTACTTATTCTTTCTTGAGGGAGGACATACCTAGGATTAGGCTCCAACTATACTGACTCTGACATATGCTTAAATTTTCGACACTACCAGGTCAGAACCGTAGCTTCAACATATTGAAGGTCATCACCCAATATTCTATGACCAAACTCAATACAGTTGCATACAGAGGCTTAAATTCTAGAAAACCATAAGGGCAGTTAAGATAAATCACTTTTTCATTAAAGCGTCCTTTGTTTAACTCTTCTGCAATGAATAAGTAAAGTTTCTCAAAGAAAATGTCCTAATTCAAAAATTCAAAACGCAAATTAGCATATGGATAACACTGCTTATATTTAACAGAGTCAAAAGATCTTAAAGTAATTCCTGATTTAGTTTTGTGTTTTCTACATAAAATCTTAGACCTGTTATGACCTAAAGAGGAATCAGAGTAACTATCATCCTTAGAAGTAGAACTTGAATTAAAGCTAGAACTTGAATATGTATCAGATGACTCAAATCTAAACAAACCTAAAGCTAATTCCTTCTTGGCAGGATTTTGATAACCATGTACATTCCATAAAGCGTCAATAGTAAGAAGCATAGGAATTTCAAGGGAGCATGGGATCAGGTGGAAAAGACAATTTAACATGTTTTCTCCCCTGATGAGTCCATGTTGTGAAGAAAATCTGCTAATAGAGGTGCTTCAGTTTGGAGAAGATCTTGGGAAGGATTTTAATTTAAAAAACTTGCTGAGCATAGCTGCTTTGGAGTGGTTCAGTTATTGTGTGGGGTATCAGCTAGGACAAACTTACCCTATTTTGCCAAAAATAGGTACATTGACTGACCATTGGAACATTGACAAGATGTTTATACCCTTTAATAAGGATGAATGACAGAAAGTGGGCAGCCGGTTAATTTTATTGGATGATTATGAACGGCTTCATAGGGCTAAGTGGTCCAAAACTGCATGTAAAGGAAATATATTGAGCGCATTGACTGGCCAGCTCATTCACCTAACCTTTATACATTTGGGCAAGTGTGGAATAAGCTGTGGGGTAACAGGTGCAAAAAAGAAAAATCAAGGAGTTTATGGCCATGTCGGTGCGAGAATTGACTGCCATCCCTGCTAGGACGGTGAAAAACATCATAGGAAGCATGACAAGTCATTGCCACATGATTGTCTGAGCAATGGGGCTAACAGACGGTGAGTATAAACTTTGTGGATATAAATGAGTTGCAGGTCCAAAATTAACCTTAGATAGGAAGTTTCATGTCACATAACATCTGCACAGAGTTTGGCATTGATATGGCAATTTGTTTTATTGAATACAATATTTTTATAACAATTTGTTTTAATTTACTGATTTTGGATTTCTGTCACACTAGCACTGTATATATCATTCGTCGACTTTCAAAATTTAATAGTGATGGAAGACTTTGCGGCATAACCTCTACCTAAGTGGAACCATCTGCAAACAGATTCCAACCAACAGCAGTGAGGGGCAAAAAGTTTCAAGTCAATAATGTTTCAATGGCTGAATTCCTATGAACCATGCATGCAAAAGGCGATTAATTAATTAATTTTTGTACTGAAACTTTGAAAAAAAATACTTGCAGTACATTTTATAAACATCGGAGTAATTGAATGTAAGCTGGCGCTGTAATGAAGCAATTGCACTATCTTATTGAAATAAATTATAATATACTAATGAGTCAAATTCTGTCAATACCCACTATATCATAGCTTAACGTCTTTGTCCAAAATTTGAATGTTAAAACTTTTGTTTATTACAATCAAATAAGATCATTTTATAAATTAGATGATCATCATCTACAAAGTTATTACAAATTCTTGTATAGAAATTTGTCGAGAGCCTTCCTTAAAAATAATTGTTTTATGACTACAAAGTAGACAAGGGACTTGCAGAAACTATAAAATCTTTCAGTGCCTCCGTGGACAATTTCTATGTGAGAAAAATCTCAAAAATATGAGTCATCAAAATGCTGAGCCTGAGAATTGAGTACCGCTGGAGTACCGCTCAAGCCGGTGCTAGGGGCGTGAGTGATGTTGCACGTATTCATTATCCCTCAATCAAACCGAGTTTGCAATTCTCTTGTAATTTTGTTGTGATTAATGCTTCCAAGGAATCACTTTGTTTCCAGATTTTTAAACAGAATCAACTCAAGGGAATAGATTAAGTGCATTTCGAGACCCAATTATACAACAGGTGTGTACTCATCCCGAATTAAAAAAAAACATTTTCTAGCTCTAAACAAGGAATAAATCTGAAATTGTTTTATATTCATGTTTTCAAATGCACTTTCTATCAGTCCTCAAAATACTTGTATGTGTTTATACACTAACCTGTACTAGTGAAATTAAAACTTTATTTGTTCATCGATAATTATTTATCCTTCAAATTTATCAACCCTAAGAAAATGTTTAAACATTGATCAATTATTAAAATATTGATTCATAAATGGCTTTAACTTCGATAAAAAAAATTACATAAAGATATGATTAATGAATTTACAAAGTAAGTACTAAAAATATTAAAGTCTGACCAGTCATGTGATTGTTATAGCTATTGTGCTCTGTTCATTTAATTATGCCTCTCTCTGTTGGCAAACCATAAACTATTAAGTTCTAAGTCTTCACACATACAGTTTATCTGTACATTTCAACATGTTTATAAAGTTATGTGCTCATATATTTTCAGGGATAATCACAAATAATATTTCTCATTAAACCTGTCTGTACGTGTAATTATATTTCTTCTCGCTTTTTGATGTAAGAAGCAAAATCTACCTTCTTGTAAATTTGATATTACAGTGAATTTTATCAGATCTTTTGTAGGAAAAGTTTGTTTAAACATGTTTGACTTGTCTGAATCTGACTTTTTTCCATTGTTATATATCCCAACCAATATACTTTTCCTTCACTCATGCATCGGCTGTAATTTTCCCTTAAATGTTAAAGTTTTACATGCAGATGCTTGATGTACATTTGTATAAAATATGTAACCTTTAGATTAAAAAATATCCTTTATGATGGGACCTTTCTCTTTTATAACTTTTATCAACTTTTAAAAAATAGAAAACTATTTTTTTATTTTGTGTGGGTTTTCTTTCTTTCTTTTTTCTTTCTTTTTTTGTTTTGGTATCTATTGACTATGATTCTAATTGCATTTATAGTACCATTTAAGTCACTGAAAATTATAAAAGGATATTTTCAGCCTGGATATAGCTTCGTAATGTTTTCTGATACTCGGCTTATCAGTAATCAATGCGGTCAAGAATAGGATATGTTAAAGGCACATTTAGACTCAGGAATATTTTTTTCTTTCTTTCTATAGAAAGGGCAAAGATGTGTTTTAGTATGTTGTAATCATTTTTGTAGTAAGAACATTTCAGATGCTAATCTTGTGGAAATATAAGCATGGAATGTGAAATAAATTTTGATAAAAAGAGCGATATTTAAACAAAGTGGTCTTTTTGTCTTCATTACAAAAGACTCGCTATTTACTTTTTGCAAGAACCCAAAGGAAGCAAAACATTGCCAAGCTTATTGGTCAATAAGTGACATTTATAAACCTGTAATATAACATCAAATTTTGAAAATTGAAACTTTTTCCACCATATAGGCTTAATGAGTCATTAAGTTCTTTTTGTTTTGGATTAAACAAGAGATAGTCGGCTTTCAGCAACATGGATGTTCTAAACACTGTCTCCCATTCATTAACATTATTTACAAGTTCATTTTCATATACGGACAATTTAATCATCATATAAATGCAGAACATAAATACATGACCTCACCTACATTCTTGTATTTTTCAACAACTGTTTTCTTTAATGCATCTCTGAGTGTCCATAATGCACCATTGCATGCATTCTTAATTTTCTCATTTTCCGACGATTTCAAATCTACGAGTACATCAACAACCCCAAGCTCCGGTTTTCCTGTGATGAGTAACTGGTTATCTGCGTCAAAACACAGCGCCCATAGCGCAGAAACACTTTCTACAATAGTAATTTAAGGCCTTCTTATTTCGAACAATAACAATACATTGAGCAAAACTTGTAAACAATCATTACCTGTGGCATTATTGAAGTTGAAGCTTTTTTTTAACGTTGCACCAACACAGTTTAGGTCATATGGCGACTTACCAAAGAAGACCCCAGGGTCCCCTCTGTACATTATTTCAGGCACATACTTACCCGTTGTTCCATAAGCAGGCTAGATAGCTTTATCACATGAGTAATCCGAATGTGACGCGGCTCAAACCCACAGCAGTGAGAGGCTAGTTGTCGAATTGAACTTGAATGAAACGGACATTATTGCGAGTTATATTTTATATTAAATATTTGTCCAGTATTGTGGGGGAATATGTTAAAAGTGAGGAAGCTTAGCGATAGAGCAGTGGTATGGCATTCCCAAAGGTTCAGTGTTTAGAGAAGTCTGGCTCCATTTTTCTTATTACCGCAAATTATATCTCACCCAGTGACACATTTAACAGGACTAGAAAAATGGGCTTAGGTGAGCTTATAAAACTAACAGTAAAACAATTCTGAGCAACGTAAATGAAAGATTCTTTTTATCACATTATAATTAAACCAGAAAATGCTATAAAATTGTGATCACAAATTTTCAAAAAATCGTTATCATTCTTTTCTACCTATAAATACTTACCATACTGTTCACCTTCATCGCCAATTCTGGCCATCTCTACAAGTAATTCAAGGACTCCAAGATCTACCAATGTCTTCGTATTAGTATCATTTCTTGCCAATAACTTGACAACTTGTATAGAAAAGTAAATGGAACCATTAGAAGCTTTTATCTGCAGTTTTTGTTCTATTTTCAGTCAAAATAGTTAAAAAATAAGCAGCTTTCCTCCATGTCCTTCCTAGAATATTCTTGCCCATATCACTTCATCATTTTTCTCTTTGAGGAATTGTTTACTTAAACTATACATTATTTTAAAACACTACTGTTTATACAAGATACAGTGCTATTCTCCTAATAACACTTTTACAGTCAAATCATTTAGGCTTAGAAAACCACATGGGATAGAGGATAGTGGTTGGCAACATTTAATAGTCCAATTATGTTTAACTGGCCCAAAATATTTCACTTTGAAGATAGAAAGTCATATGAAGAAAAATGACTTACATAGTTATTTTATTATTCTGTTCTATAAGGTATGAAGAAAGAAGTGTTTTGTTTTATAATTCAGTCATTTCTGTTTTGTCTATTTACAAAACTAAGATGAGTCATTGTTAAATTTTTAAAATTTTGGAAACATTCATCGTTATGGCCTCACCCGGATTCAACTAGCCATGCCTTAGCTGGTTAGTGCTAAATTGGCAGACTGCTTTTATGCAATATTAAATAGTTAATAACAATGAAAATACAATACAAAGCTTCAATCAAATATTGTAGAAAAAACTCTCCATATAGCTAGCTTGAACACACACACACACACACATCAACACACACACACGCACACACACACACACACACACACACACACGCGCGCACGCACACACGCACGCACACACGCACACACAGCCAAAAACAACATATTCATGTCGTAATGTTATGTTGATAACTCGGAACAGTATACAATGCCAGCTTCCCTTTTCAGAAAGATTAAAACTTTTTCTTCTTTTAAATACTAAAGATATTAAAGTCTGACCAGTCATGTGATTGTTATAGTTATTGTGCTCTGTTCATTTAATTATGCCTCTCTCTGTTGGCAAAACATAAACCATTATGTTCTAAGTCTTCACACATACAGTTTATCTGGACATTTCAACATTTTTATAAAGTTATGTGCTCATATATTTTCAGGGATAATCACAAATTATTCATGTCGTATATTCATGTCGTAATGTTATGTCAATCGGCCAACACACGCATATTCACACTTACACCTACACCCGCACCCCCCCCCCGCCCCACACACACACACGCACACACACATTAGCCCATGCTTCTACTGATCGCATGGAAAGTAAAGTTTAAGTCTTATTGCTGCTTAAGCAAGTTATACTATCGTCAATCTTCAATAATAGTATTAAAAACTGGAAAAATGATAAAATGACCAAGCCCTCAGTAAAACCTCGGATAACCGGATCTCCACTTAATCCGATATCCTCAATATACCGAACATTTAACATTGCCTCGGACTTCCTATCTGTTTTTATTTTTAGAAAGTCCCCATGAAGTCGAAATACCGCTACTCCAGGTAAGGCACATGAATGCGAGAGAATTTTTTGATTGTGCACTTAAAAGTTTCCTCGATTAAAAAAAATGAACTTACTGAAAACAGATTCTTGACATGACCATCCTCTACATTCTCGCATTTTATCTTTCATCCCTTCCTTGATACAGTCCAACAAGATCATTACAATCTCTTTGTTACTTTTGATGACATCACTTTCTTCTTCATTGATTACACCTAAAGTATATCAATACATATATTTTCAATTCCTGAAATGAAACTAAAACTGAGAGATAATTACCCAACCCAATCCCCTACAAACTGTTTTTATTCCTAAAACAAGTGGCAAGCGGTTGTTTTCGTGAGCAATACACTTTACACTCATTGCTTAGTGGTGGTTTGATGCCGTAACTGATTCAATAGTGTTTAAATAAGCTTATCGCTTTCAACACAATTTAACTAAAAGTAATTTGTATGAACTTAATCAAACCCAGAGTCAGAAAAAGCATAGAAAAATCTTTTTTCTGTTTACCATAAGCAAATAAATTGAAGGAGGCTTTTGATTGTAGCCTTTCAATAGTCATATTTGAATTATACTCCTATCCAAAATGAAAGAGTATTGGCCTGATATTGATAAATAAACAAATAGGCTTAAACCGCTCTTTAGACACTGAAAGTCATAGTATGGATTTGTATCCATTCATGTCCTTAAAGGCTATAATTTACCTTCAGGTAACCTTCCAGATAGATAAATGCGATTTTACAACTTTTCAAGACAACGAGAAAAAAAATGTTCTCAGAAACTCATAACTAAACTTTGCATGCTGTCTTAAAATATAATGTTTCACGGACTGAATGGGTTTTAACCATAATTTCCTTGCTGATCTTATTAAATATGGAGTAACGAATATTTCTGTGAAGTTATGAAAGAATAATGAAGAAAAAGAAAATATAAATAAACGGGCCTTAAACGTGGTAGAAAAACATCTTCATTTGTAATCAGATTTTTTTGGATAATTATGTGTATTTAAAATAACGGTCTCATGTGTTAGTAATTCACGAACACCAGGTCCCGGGTTATCACTTTCATGTATCATGAGGAAGGTTATAATAATAATCCATGGTTATCATTATGATTTACCGATTTTAACCTCATCTGGTGTTGGTACCTTCCCTTTTAAATTGGAATGCTCCTTTGGTACAACTTGCACGGTGTATCCGATGTGGAAAATCAGCACTTGTTCTAGTTCGTTTAGCTTTTGGTACTGCTGCGAAGGATTAATTGTTGTGATGGAGTTTGTGGTCAATAATACCATCAGCATCTTACCGTAACACACGAATATTAGTTATTTTGTCATTACAAGGCCGAATTGTGGAGTAAAAATTGAGTTTTCCAAAGTCATAAAATATTGTGTGATCATTATATTCAACTTCGTACCCGACTCCCTGTACCTTAGCATTCCTTATGATCGTGTTCCACGTTCATTTGTGGTAAATACACACTTTGCTACGGAGCCTCGTTCAATTGTGGTGTGAACGGAGATAATAGAACCAAGATAATAGATTGTGGAGTCGTGTCATGATAACTTCATTTTATAATATAACGAACTAGCTCCACCCGTGGACATAATTATTATTAGCCTTTAGCACTTTTATATCATCCTTCCGTTTACTGGCTCCATGTCCCTTTTTTGTTTTCCCTTGCTTCATTCTTCCGTTTGACGTGTATTTTATAGTCTTCAACCGTAATGTTTCCTACTTCATACTCTTCACATTTATCACAGATTTTTTTCAGTGAGAAGGTTCCAAAGTTCATTGATCCAAAATGTTCAAGGCAACATTCGCGGATGTTGTGGATAAGTTTCGACAATACGAAAATGTCAAAAACCATTTTTGCGCCAAATCCGAGTTTCGTAGTTTCACGGGGGAACTGACGAAACAGATGTTTCGCTGAGAGTCAGAATTATGCACCTTGTAAAACAAGCAATTATCATAGTATTGCAAGCAATCCATAAGTCCCCTACCGGTTAGAACCCCATCAACATTCTGAAGGGCCATTGGCCATTCACTTATGTTTCAATTTTTCTCTATTTTAAGTAAACTTGTTGGAAAAGTTCTTTAAAAGTGATCACAAGAAACAGTTTTTATGAACAGACAGTCAGACGGACTGAAGGACACTCTAAAGTTAATATTTGAAACATCCCTGTTACCAAAATATAACATTTTAAAAGCAAAATTCTTAAATAGGAGATAACTCTTGACTTAAAGATGCAATTTCATAAAAATTTTCAGCTCTTTTTGACTTATTACAAATACATGTATTGTTATATTTGCCATGTTTTAAGCCTATTTGTTGCCAAGGCAACTGATATTTTTTCAAAATAGTAAGAACAGATAAGACAGGCATAATATCAAGACTGCTATCTACCCATATGTCAAGTTTCATAAAAATATTTCCAGTACTTTTTGAGTTATCACTGGATTCAGTTTATGTGTAAAATTTGCCATATTTTCAGTATATGTGTTGCCATAGCAACCAGAATTTTCAACATAGGAAGAAAATAAAAAGACGTGCATAATCTCAAGACTGCCATCTACCCATATGTCAAGTGTCATAAAAATATTTCCAGTACCTTTTGCTTTATCGCTGGATCCAGTTTATGTGTAAAATTTGCCATATTTTCAGCCTATTTGTTGCCATAGCAACCAGAATTTTATAAATAGGAAGAAAAGAAAAAGACATGCATAATTCCAAGACTGCCATCTACCCATATGTCAAGTTTCATAAAAATATTTCCAGTTCTTTTTGCGTTATCACTGGATCCAGTTTATGTGTAAAATTTGCCATATTTTTAGCCTATTTGTTGCCATAGCAACCAGAATTTTCAACATAGAAAGAAAAAGAAAATACGTGCATAATTCCAAGACTGCCATCTACCCATATGTCAAGTTTCATAAAAATATTTCCAGTACTTTTTGCGTTATCACTGGATCCAGTTTATGTGTAAAATTTGCCATATTTATAGCTCATTTGTTGCCATAGCAACCAGAATTTTCAACATAGGAAGAAAAGAAAAAGACGTGCATAATGTCCATACTGCCATCTATCGATATACCAAGTTTCATAAAAATATTTTCTGTACTTTTCAAGTTATCGCGGGATCCAGTTTTCTGGACGGACGGACTGACGGACTGACATACAGACGGACGGACAGACGGACAGACAGACGGACAGACGGACGGAGGGTAAACCTAAAGTCCCCTCCGGTAAACCGGTAGGGTACTAACAACTGCACCTTGTCACGATAAGCAAGAATTTCAAGTTTCATGTTGATAACTTTTAAAATGCAGCGGTCAGAATAGCTCGAAATTCTCTTCGAAACAGACGAGCTTAAATAATGTTGTTAACACAATTTTATGGTCGATTCTCAAAAGAGTTGTAGAGTAAAATGTCTCTGTTATTTAGTACACATGAATATTGTTCGTAAGCAAAAAAAAATGTTTCATTTAAGCGATAACCTTCGGTGAAGAAATACTTCCGTTACAGGATGTGACGTCAATGGATGATAATACTATACAAACCGCATAGAATGTTAGCTTATTGAAAGTTAAATGCGTAAATACTGATCGTTCAATTATAATCATAACATAATTTTTTCAACTTAATTATACATTAACTCCATATTAAGACAATAAAAAATGCAAAACAAATATTACTTAAGATTATGATAAGATAAAATGCTTGTAACTAAATCAAATTTAATCTAATAATTTATAAACACCCATTCACACCGAAATTACCTAATACAAATTTAAATGGTCATTATCTAGATTTCTGTGAGATTTTCTATCACTTGGAAAATTCTTATGATTGTTTTTCGAGTTTTAGAACAGTAGCAAAATGCATTCTGTCCAGACTTATTTTCCATTATGCCATATTAAAAGTATTCCAAAGAGCCAGTGAAGCAGATAATTTTATAAACATTCCTTAAGGAACGGAATTTACGTGGCAATGATTTTTATAACTTATTATTCGCCAAAGACGACAATAAGATATTTTTATTACAAATCTATTCTTATGATAAGAAAATAAAAGACCTTTTTTTGATAACTTATTCTATAAATTTACAGATATGTATATATAAGCCACTCTGGTCTGTAACATCTTAATCAACATGGTGCATAATTATGTTGTACATACACGCGGCATTTGGCTTTATAACATTACTTTAGATAACATCAGTTAATTTTGATAGTTGTCAAAATATCTATGATTCGATCAGCCTATGGAATTTATTGGCTATGCCTACTGATTTTATACACCAGAATGGCATCCAACTGGCATTAATTTAGTATATGTATAGTCAAATACCTAAAAGTATAATTCAGTTAATAGCGACATTTTGTGTACGTTTTTCACCACTTGTTTTTTTTTTTGTTGTTGTTTTTTGTTTGTTTTTTTTGTGTTTTTTTACTTTCTTTCTTTTTAGTGATTTTTTCTAAGTTTTAACATTTGACAAACAGAATTTGAATTACATAAGCAAACTATAAAGTTAAAAATATCACTTTAACAGCTTTAATAAAATATGTAGTGCATTTAAATGGCGTGATATGCGATATTTTAAGAGTGTTTTTTTGCCGACACAAATAGTATACATGAACATATAAAAGAATTGTTACTTTTGTGCTTTAACATTTTTGTTGGAAACTACATAGATTTATAATATTGTTTCTGTGTTTCAGTTATGCTTAAATCACAATAATATTTATTCAGCCAGTATTTCGCAAATTAATTATTACGCAACCGTTTTTCGAAACTAAGGAATACTTCTTTGAAACTACAAAAAAGCTCTTGAGTACTCATATTAGCAAGTAAGTATACGATAAAACTGCCTACTAAAACATGGTGCGGCAATTTTCATTATTTAGAATCAAACATGATCTGTAACCCGGCCATGATCCAGTATTAAAATAAATCGTTAACCTTATTTTTGTAAACATTTTCATTTCACCATCTTGTTTTGTAATATTTTATGTAATTACACACAATTTTGGCAATTTCAATCCACCAATCTTCGATCTTATAAGAATAAGGATTAAAAAAATATATTCCTGAATTAATGTACTTAATCGTATCGGCAATGTCCATCGTATCCCCTAATGACGTCATCCAAGGGCCACAACTTGAATCCGGTGTTAAATAAAAGGGTTTTTTAGAAAGCTGCAGCTACTTTAAGTAGGATTAAAACAATTAAGCTATGATTTCGTTCAGAACAAAATTCTCTCTTATAGATATAGTATGCTCATATTATTGTAAAACACTTTACGTCCAGGAATTTTTCGAAATCTTGGAGATACTTACTAAATATGTCTTATTTGAATAAGAGGAAGCAAAAACTATGTTTAGAAGGTTACATTCTCTACTATTGGTAAATTTTAATTAATTTCTAAACAAAATGTTGTTTTTGTTGTTTTTGGTAACGCTATGTAGTCATACTGTGGAGAACTCGTTTTCAAAATTCAATAAGTACAATCAGCAGCTACAAACATAAGAAAATACATGTACAATTATTTGTCGTTAAAGATTAAAGTAATTTAAAGGTCAAAGTTACACTTGAATTGCTTTACTCATTAAACACACTAGGTATGGGAAAGTCCTAATACTAATCGAATAAAATTATAAATAACAAAATGGCGATTTTAGCAAATTTCAATGACTTGGTCTTAACTGTCAGTCATTAAAGGTTATTGTCATAATATTATCTACATTGACAAGTCACAATTGTATGGAAGGAGGAAAGGTTGCTTTGGATAACAAACTACTGAAAGACTGCCATCAAAAAAACTCGGGTTAGTTAAAATAAAAGGAAGAGCAGCCTTCTGTACAGGGTCAGGCCAAATTAAAAGCTGGTTAAGTGAACTAAAAATAAGTTTGGTAATGGTTCACAAAAAAACAATGAGATCACAAACCTGCCAAACTTGCCAATGCTGTCAATGCATATTCTGTGTTTGGTGACTTGAGATAAGGTTTCAAACACGAGATCATCCCAGCATTACGTATATTTGAAATATTGTTTTCTCTCATGGACATATTGTGAACAATTGTCAGAGAAAAATTCATTAGCTTTTCTTCGATTCCCTGAAAAATATGGACAATTCTCCTAGCTGTCAAGTAAAAATGCTGATAAAATTGTCAAAAAAAATATTGAAATAACACAGACAGCGTTAACTTACCTGCCTTTATTCATTGTTATGTGTTTTTTCTGTTGATTATAATTTTGAACTTTCATAAATATACCCCTAAGTGATAACTGAAAGAAACTGAGGATAACTATTTACAACAAACAAACAAACAAGTTGATAACATTGGCTCAACCTTTGAACAAATTTTGAGCGAAAAATGCATTATGCTTGCAAATTTTATCATCTGGTATGAATTTCGCTAAAATCATACATGTTTAATTGAACGTTGTTGTGAAAAACACATTTATTAACAAACAGTTTTAAAGTTAAATTACCACAAGTTTCCGTTCTCCTTCCTTTGCAAAATATTTTGGCAGTGAATCTCTTAATACTTGAATAAGTATATCAATAAATCCAGGCTCATTTGCAAGGCCAATTGTGTACTCATCACAGCCATCACTGAAGTTACCTAGGGTTTGAAGGCTACATATTAAAGGAACAGTCTTACTTTTTTCCTCCTTTCCTTCTTCATTACGCCACCCGTTCATGTATGTATACATAACAATTTCACAGCTCAATTTGAAATATTTAGTTTCCATCATTAATTCTGCTATGTCTTTCCGGTATTTGTATATATTTTCTCGACTTGTTGTTTTCAACTGAAAAAAAGCTGCGTTAAATACTATAGCGGCATCATAAATCTCATTAACAAATGCTCCTCCATTTTGGTGGCGAGTCTGTAGTGCAACTACTTCTTCTGCGGTGTCTCTAAGATAATCAAGTGTCGTTTTTCTAAATTCTTCAAGTTCTTTAGTTGTCATCCATTCATCCTCAACGTTCTTCTCTTCAATTCCAGCCTCCTCCTTGTCTGTACGTTTGTCTGTCCCAGTATATTTGTCATCACTTGTCTCTTTCTTAAATGCTGACATTGTACTAAAAGGTGCAGAAGTTATAATATTATTTGTTGCAGGAGATTCCAAATGGTCACCAGGAGGAGGAGATATAATACCTTTGGAAGGAGAAGCTGCAATACGATGACTCTTTAGACAGTGAGAAGAGGATTTATCTTTTTCTGTACAATCTTCAAAATTTCTTTCAGACTTTTCTTGCATTCGTAATCATGTTTCGGTAACTTTTGTTTTGCTAGTTCAAGACACTGAAGATCGTATTGAAATGTCCTGTCTGAAATACGAAGTATAAAATGATAGTACAAATTATTATTTAACACATTTAAGAAAATGTTAACACGTCAGACTTCACAATTTCAAAGAAAAAGACACCCGTCTTTCACAATTACATTAGGTACGCTTTAGACATTTTACAATAAATGTGGAAAAAGTAGACAGATGCACTTTACCGGTACATAAAAATATACTTAAATAATCTGAAACTAGTATACTTGATTAAAACAATTGCTAATCGCACATAAAATTATAAAGCTATTTTTTGTTGGAAATTCCATTGTTAATCAATTTAATATCTTCTGGCTTCTTGCGACCATAACGTTATTCGTAAATACATCAGTCGCTATATTGTACAGTGGTAAACATGGGCAATGATATGCATTACACAAGAACCAGCAGATGCTCCTTGAAGTTTGCATCTTTCTGTATCTGTATCTTGCACTATAATCCAAAATATAAAATGACAAACACTCTTCTACACGACTCGCCTATACGCCTATATGGACAACCGATGGCGAGTATAAATAAACTCACACACACACACACACACGCACGCACGCACGCACGCACGCACGCGCGCGCGCACACACACAAACATGTACACACAAACATGCACGCAGGCACACACACACATTACCGAATCCAGCATAAAAAGATATCATATTATTAGTAGTTGTTGAAAAGGTTAAAACTGTTTTGTTTAAATATGCAATAACGAAAGCATTTCTTGTTAATACTCGTACTTCTTGTTGTTTCAGAGTAATGTCCCATGTAAAACTGAAAAAAGGTAATTACTCCAAAATTAGGCATTGCAGAGTTACTGTTCTTGTGCACTACACAGTTTAGTTTGATACATTTTGTAGATTCAGTGCTATGTCCGTCCTGGACAAAGTTTAAAATGTTAAAATGAGAAAAGGGCCATTCCTCTAAGATCAGGCAATGCAGAGTTACGGGTCTTATGCATTGCATTTCTACTTAATGACATCTATCTAGATTCTACCGATATAATTTCGTTAATATTTTATACATTTTGATTAGAAATAATAATTTTCTTGTGTTGATTGGTAGTTCAATGTAAATATTTGTTTCGTAAGTATGATAAATGGGAACACATTTTTCATAAGGACTGGTATTGAAGATTAATTAAGAGTTCATCAATTCTGGTAAAGGGTCTTGTAACATCCAAGCTTAAGTTCAGAAAAGTGGCCGTATTTCCTTTTCCGCACAGTAATGTTTGTTTAAATTTTGCATGCAGGTGAACGTTAAAGACCTTTTTTCCAGTGACTAGGAAATCGAACCTAGTTCCTTCATCTTTTCAGGATGTTTTTAGAGGAAAGTTTTTATATGCAAAGCATGTGCATCATTACGGTAATTTCATTCTTGTGCATTTTAACTGGTCTAAAACAATTCAGTTTGGGGAACGACAACTCATTTGTCCGTTATAAAGTTTACAAGATATGATAATTGTCCTGTTCTTGCTTATGAACGTTCATTAAACCGTGTCAGGACGCCTTGTGTTTGTTGTCCTCGCACTCTTATGTTTCTTATTACACGTTTCAAAAAGAACCAAAAGTCTTTTCCAAGCATTTATTTAGAATAGGTTTTGCAACCCTCGCCTTTTAATCACATATCCCTCCAAAACTTATTTAATTACTTGGGGACTGGAGGTAAAATGCCTTAAGTTATATTTAGTGTTAGATTGGTCAGATTAGTTTAAATTTTGAATAATGAAATCCTAATGTGGTTAACAAGTACAGTGCATCTTTCTTTCTCTTTTCATTTACAGATATCAAGGTCCACATTATGTCAGACTCAATTGCTAAGAATGAGGGGATACATGGAAAACATGGGATTCACTTTCCTGGAATTATTTGCCAAATTGATAAATTTCATGCTCTTATTTCCAAATATTAAATTTTGCATTTGTTTCTAAGCTCTAATTTAATCTACTTAACATTTATTTTGTGTTTTTCTGTGTTTGAGATAATTATTTAAAGACATTTTAAGTAAATTATTTAATACACAATGGGTAATTTCAAAACCAAAAAAACATGTCATAAAATAGACTTGCGCTTTCGATATATATCTTTATTTCCTCCAATACTGGAGAGTTACGTGTTATAATGCAAATATGATTCTATATCTACAAAGTAAGAATATAATTTTTTAACAAAACAGAAACACATATAGTCAATATACTAATATGATGACTAATAAAGTATTAATTAGCCGCCTAAACAAATGGCATGATAGTTAACAAAATATTGATCATATATGAAAGCTTACATATGGCAATGAAACATCAACATATATAAATTGACATATGACTGTTAGAAAATCATTGGCATTGATAAATAGAACAATAATTCTTAATGATTTTCTGAGATTTCTTTTGCACCGATGATATTAATACAATATTTCAGTTGAGAATTTGGCAACTGTGATAAAACACTGTATACGTATATTGTCATTAATATCAAAACTTGTGAACCCACTTAACATCTCTATAAGTTGGTTTTCAATGCTCATACCGCTTAACATGCGGAAATAATTGTGCCCTAGCAAAGATATGAGTTTTGTCCATAGACTGTATCAAATGTTATCATATTGTAAGCAATGAAACACTTTATGTAACGCATATTCGTATGTTACAGTCTTGCAATAGTCACACACAACGGGATATTTTCTTTCGTAATATTTGCACATCAGTTTAAACAATGAAAAGCATTGTGTTTTATAAACTGGGAAATGTCTTTGAAAAATCCATATAGAGCTGTAGTCGTATGTGGAATGTTTATTTAAAAATAGGTTGATATCGTCATCGTGCTCTAATCTAGATTTCCAAGTACATGCTCGTGCACCGCCTTTTTGGTTATTCTTTTCCAAGCATATTTAGATGGAAAGAAACCTGTTTCTGAACAGTCATGTAGATATGGAAATACATGTAGATTATATTTTCCAAGAACTCTGATCACGTCGGGAATAAAGCCTTTAGATTTAGCAGGTCGTGCATAATATGATGTTAAACGATTAACAAAAAAATGCTTAAACTTCATATTTGAATCTACATGACATAGTTGAGACAAAAAGATAAGTTTTCTTATATCAATAAGGTTAGATATCGGATAAATCCCTAAAAAACTAAGTGCGATGTCAGTACGAGTTCCATATGGAACGCCTTGAATCCATTTGACACATTGTCTATGTGCCCGTTCCAAGGGAAGTAACTGTGTCGCGGTGACACCGCTTTATAATTCACTCTCGTATAGAGCAGATGGGAGAACTTTAGTTTCATAAATACACCTTGAGGTGATAGGGTTTAGTCCATTTTTCCTTATTCCACTGTAAGTTAAGCTAAAGAATGTTTACCTAAGTTTATGGCAGCTTTCGGTTATGTTTTCGCAAAGGTTCATGTCATTTGTGCAAAGAATGCCTAGATTGGTATATGAGTTAGTTTAACTTATAATTTTATTTCCCATTTTCCATAGTCTTTTGTTGCTACATTTATCATTAAAAACGAGAACTTTGCATTTCGCTGCGTTATAAAGATTACAGTCCTTTTTGGCATAATTGAAGCATGTATCTATAAGTTCATCTAGCCCTTTTTTGACATTTGAAATGATTACCATATCATCAGATGAGGTTGGACATGCACATACTATGTTGTGAATTTTACAGCTACTTTTACACATGTCAATCATTTCCATTTATGAAGAGGATGTAGAATTGAGGACTACAACTTTGTCCTTGACGTGTACCTTGCAGCACGGGGAACCAGTCGGAGACAAATCCATTTGATTTCACTCAACTGTAACAGTTTTCGAAGAACGATTTAAATATTTGAAACAAAGATATATCAATACCACTTTGATACAGTTTTAGTAACAATGAAGAAATCCAAGTGTGATCGAATGCTTGTTTCGCATATAAAAAAACATGTATACATTGGAAAATTATTTTCTATGGAGTATTGTACACATTCGCGAAGCATAAATGCTGTCATTAAACAGCTAACGTATTTTTGGAAACCACCTTGTGATGGATTTAAATGAATGCCACCATCCATTTCTGCAATTTGTAGAACGACCTTTTCAAATAATTTTAACAAGGCGGAACAAAGGGAGATAGCTCTGTAACTAGCTGGATCATTTTTTCTCTTTTTGTTACCTCCCTTAAATAAAACTGTTATTATGCCTTTCTTCATATCTGTAGGTGTGTGTGAGAATTCAAACATGTGATTGACGAGTTTGGTAATACATTTTATCAATAAATCCCCGCCATAAATGAATTTCTCATAAAAGAGATTGTCTTGGCCACAGGCTTTCCTTGTCTTGCAAGAATTAAGCGCTGTTTTACCATATCGCTGGTGATTATGTATTTTGCATGTTGTTTGCTTCGATAGTTACTTTTAATTGTTTCAAGTTCACCTTCTACATATGATTTGTAATCAGAATTTTCATCATTATTTATTGAGTATAGTTGCGAGAAATAAGATTTCCATCCCTTGTTTACTTCTACAGTAATTCCATTGAATGTCATTTCAAAACAGAGTGTATACTTGGTTTTTGAATTATTTTTATTAACCAATCTCCAAAATTCATTGTTATCTAATTCCGATGATTTGTCTAGCATACATTTCTCTTTATCCAGGAAAGATAAAACGGATTGGCGATGTGTTTTCCGAAAGAGGGTCTTGGCTATTTTTACGTTTGTAACTTCCGGAAGTCGTGTCACATGGCTTTCCGTCGCTTATCCATTGTGCTCGCGCTTGTGTCATATTTTATGTGCAGTTTTTAGACTGTCATTCCAGTAAAGTTTGATGTAAGGTTTAAACGTATGTAAGCTGTATCATATACCAATTAAACATATTCTTTTCCGAGATATTTAAAGTGTACTGTCAGTTCAAAAACAGTCGAAGTAAATTTGAGTGATTAAGGTAACAGGGGTAAATCACTTTCTCAAGACGGTCAAAAATATTGCAGAATTCTAGAATGTTTG